TATATACTAATTAGGGATTTTTTGGACTCGGAATCAAGCCGTGTAACTCAGTGGGGGACCTGTGCACCGCTTTTCCCGGCGGCTTGACTTCAACTGCCACGTAGGACGATATCGGAGCCCGTGTAACCAATCAGGTGCCGAGTTTTGACCAAGCTCTTAGAGTCCGTACAGTGCCGGGCCCTGTTTCCGTCAGCAGACCGGTAGAAGGCTGTCCCTGCTCTAAGCCAGTTTGGCCCTGGCTAAGACATGCAGGGTGTGAGGGGCCTTGTAGACGAGGTTGCGCATGCCATTTCGCCTTTCAAAATATTCATTAGGTAATACCTAGGCTTTGCCCACTGTGCCAGGCAGGCCATAGAGTAATCAACAGAAAATAAAAAATCAATAATGTCTGCCTGATCCTGGCAAGGCCTGAACCCTGAGGCTGAAGTTGAAAGAAGGCTGCCAATTGCAGGCATTGATCACGATGATCAGAGGAGCTATTTGACCACCATTGTTTGGGCAGCAGAGCACATCTGTGCCAGCAACAAGCTGAAGCAGGAAGCTGCTTGGCCCCATACGGATTGCAAAGGCTGCTCGGCTGATTGCTAGTCGTTCTGTGAAGGAAGATTAGGGAAGAGAACCTTGTATTATGCTGATGCACAAAGCTCAAGCACGCGAGTTGGCCTAAGTTGCAGGATATGCAGAGGTAAGCTTTTCCGCGCGGGAAACCGTGCTCTCCCGTTCGTTCAATCTTTTTGCTTCGATCCCGGCCCTTGGATCGTGTAACTGCCTCTTCTGTTGACTTTTTGAATCTTTAGGGGTCTCGGGTTTCTTTCCAGGCCTTTGACAAACAGAGCTATACAGGAACTTCACAGCTTCACCTTGTCTTTATTCTGGCGGCCTTCTGTGCTGGTGGATGCTGAAAGCAGGATCAGGGGTTAATTTCTGCTGCGTAGCTCCGACCATGCCTTTCCAAAATGGCATTCCCTAGTATGTTCAATATTGCTAGAAATTTGCAACCAGCCGCTGGTTTTCTTTCAACGCTTGATCCAAACACCTTACACAGTCCTGCTGTTGTTAGGAGACCTGCTAGCGTCCCTCTTTCCCCAGTTCCAAAACATTCTGCAAGCCTTTCTCCAACAACTCCTTCTCCATTTCGTGTTCCCAATCCAGTTGCTACCCCAACGCCGAGGAAGGGTGCCGAACCACCCTACAAGTTTCAAACATCCCTGAAGGATTGGTTCAAGCCAGCTGTAGATGTTAAAGCACTGTCTCTAGAACAGCTAGAAGCTCTTAGGCAAAGCAAAAGCACAAAACAATTGGCTGTGTTTGCTGACGGCAAGTCCCTCCCTGTCAACCCTGAAACAGGTTCGCATCCAGAGATCAAGAACGTGACCCAGTACCTTGAGTTCCTAGGCAATGGATACAACAATGGATTCCATTCCTATTCCTGGGCCCTACACAATCGCGCTGAAGGTCTGCAAACAGAGGTAGATGCCATCAAGCAGGTTCAGCCAACGATTGCCCAGTTGTTTAGGAAGGTAGAGCAGCAGGAGCAACGAGTTGCTCAAGTTGAGCGGCGAGAGGCAGTGCACCTGAAAAGAGTAGAATCAACTATTGCAAAGTGTGCTAAGGCCAATGCAGAAGCATCGAAGCTGAAGTTGAAGCTAGACGCGCTCGGCACTCGCCATGAAGAGAGCAAGAGGACAAATCGTAACTTGCGGCATACGAACAGGGTCCTCAGGAAAAGGAATAATAAGCTGCAGCGGAATGGTGGCAAATTGCGCCGCCGGGACAGCAAGGATGTGTATGATCTCCGCGTTGATGGTGGACCTGCAATGGCCCGTGGAAGGGAAGCAAGGTAAAGCCCTAACGATTTGGAATCTTCCAGGTGGAGTAATTGCTGAGGGCTGCTCAAATGCATGACCTAAAGCAACTTAGAATCATACTGTACTGGCTGACTTCTGTGCCTTAAAAACAACTTTCAAATCATGAAGCCTGCATCGGAAGCTGTTGAACGTCAGCTGCGGTCAAGAGGTTGCTTCTGAAGTGTCGTATCAGAGTGAATTGTCGAACCAGAATGATAGTAGCAGATGATAGAGTTTTTGTTTCAGTTGAATCAGAAGCAAAGCATATTTTTGTCAACATGAGAAGCCGGCAAAGATGTCCTGGTTGTGTGTGCAGGAAGACAATGCACCAAGCTTCAGATAGCAACAAGATATTGTCTTTCAAATCAATAGGATTTGCTTTGAGGCAAAAGCTGAGGTCTAGTTGACAATTTGAGCAAAGTGTAAATGCATTGTATATGTGATACGCTCTTGATATCTTCTCTGTCAGGATGCTTCTCGCGCCTAGGCAGACGGCACGCATCCAGGCCTATAACCGGCTGTCTGAGAGGAGGCTTCCTCTCTCGGGGACCCGGGAGGAGCAAGAGCGCTTTGGAAAATGGTTGGGTACGTGGGCGACTCGGACGGAGCTCAAGGCAGCCCTGGAGAACACGAAGTTCAACGGCATTCGCAAGGACGTCCAACAAGAAGCGCTGGACAAAATCAGCGCCAACCTTACCACGGCCGCCGCGCTTGCAGGGGTTGAGCTGGCCGGGGGAACAGTCCGCACTTATGGGTAAGTTCTTTCTGATGGCTCAAGTCTTGACGCAACTTCTCTTTGGCTTTGTGCGACCTGATTGCCGCTGGTTGTGCATCGAGGTTTAGAAGATTGCAGGCACTGGCTCGTTACCAGAGTTTTGGATCTGTCTTCCTAGTTGGGTCTTTAGTTTTGGGCCACTTTCTGGGGTTCCTTGTCCACCAGAGTTTCTTAGCACTGAGATCTCTCATGATCTTCTCAATCTGAATATCTCAATCTCTTATAATCTGGATCCCTCATAATCTCTTCTTGGTTTACAGCGGCGTTGCCAAAGAGCTCTTTACTGCAGCCAAGAGTGCCGGTTTCAAGCCCACGCTCCTGCCCAAGCCTGCGCATGTGGCTGCAAAGCGCAGGGAAATCAACAGCCAGGTAATGCAACGATACATTTGCAGCAAGTTTCACTCGGATTGCATTCAGCAAGATACTGTGACTGTGTCTTTCCCAATGAGGCCAATGATTTATCTATGATTTCAACTTGCCTTCTGGAGGAGAGCCACTTGAGAAACCATCCTGTAGTCCCAACGTAAAGAAGCTAATTTGCTTGTGACCAGTCCCGATAATTCCAGCAATTTGCTGCTGCCGAGCCCTTCTTGATAAAGTCATCGATACTTGTACCCTGCACCTGCTCTCAGATCTGTCCAAGTGATGGTTGGTTTGATGTAGGGGTGGCAATATAGTACGCAATTGACTGCCGTGCAGGTTATGGACGAATTAGGGCAGCTGGTGGAGAGGCATGGCACTCGGGAGGTCAAAGATGAAGCGGGCAAGTGGGTTACAGAGGAGATGCCCATCAATATATGGGTGCCCGTTGACAACGTCCTCCGGCAGATTGTGAAGGATCTTGGTCTCAATCCAGTGGGTAAGTGTCTGAATCTGGTGGTGGCACTGAATCAATGATAAGCCTGGTTTACTTGTGGACTAGGGCAGAGCATCTTGGCAGAGGTTTGCTGTTATGCCGGGATTCTGGTGCCCATTGGCTCAAATGATGCTCAGTCCTGCTCTATTCTTGTGTCCATTGGCTGAGTGCTCGGTCTTGCTCTGCTGTGTTGTTGCAACCATAATAGATTCAGTTTTCAACATGCTCATTTTTTCCGTTGCTTGTATTCAGAACATCCGAAGCTGATTGTGTGCTACAAGATGGACGAGGCGGCGTTTGGCAATGGCGTCAAGCTTGAGAGAGGCGTTGTTGTGGGGATGAACGGTGCACAAGACCCCAGGCTTCTCGAGACTTCTGGGTACAAGATCCAGTCCGAGTTTGATACCTACACGCTCACAGCCTTTCAGGTAAGCTGCAGCACATAGGATGTGCCTGAATGTGTATGCTAGGATGTGCATACTTGACGAGCTCGTCTTCTTCTTTGCTTCTTGTAAGGGCAACCCCACCAGCATAAAGTCTCCCTAGCAGCATAAAGTCTCCCTGTCCTTCAAGCAGCACTTGCGCAGCTGCTCGCACAGACTGATTGCCCCTCCTATTCGTTTTGTTCGTTTTGGGGATAGAGCCTGACAAGAGGTTTCAAGTTGACAGTATGCACATTAGTCACATTAGTCAGACATGTTGCGTTCTTTCTTTCTGCTTCTTCACTTTCTTTCCGGTAGGAGGGTTAGGCTGTTTAGGTTCTTGGGGCAAACTCTACCCCCTTGTAAGTGATGTTGGCCAGGAAATTAGAACGTTTGTGAAGCATCCGTTCCAAGCAAGAGGGGTATCTTGTTCTTCAAATCTGGGGGCAGATTCTGGGAGTAGACTTTACCCCCTGCAAAGAAGTCCTTTCGGCGAGGGGCCGAGCATGCCCTGGGCGAGCATGCCATGGTGGTGGCGTTCCTTCCCCTCGAAACTCTGCAGGGTTGACGTTCTCTCCATTGAAGTCAAACGTATACAAGGGGCAAATCTCAGTAGTTCGTGCATTCGTAAACGGGCTTTCATTTTTCCAGGTCCAGAAGGAGGACCGCGCCACCCTTGAGTGGCATCTCGGAGTGCCCCCCAAACTGCGCGTCGCGCCAACCCGGGCGTCAGAGATGGCGCAAGCGGAAGCCGAACCCTCGACATTGCCGCCAGGTGCTGCTGAAGGGGAGCGCCAGCCCGTGGACGCCGAAGGAGCGGATCCACCACTACAGCCAGCTCGAAAGCGACAACGGAGGGGTCTGCTCCCTGCTTCTGCGAGGAGGCCAACGCAGGAAGGCCGTGCCCCGGAGAGAACTGGAGGCGAGGTCGCGGGGCAAGAAGGTGGGCAAGGAGCGTCTGAAACCGAGGGGGGGACCGCAGAGTCTATCAGAGGGAGGGAGGACGAGGGGAGGGAGAGTCGGGGGGTAAATGCAGAGGTTGGTGACGGGGTGGTGCGCAGAATTCGGGAGGCCGCAGCCAGTGCACGAACGGACTTGGAACAAGGCGAGTACTCCGATGGCGGGTTTGCTGGGGAAGGGGGGGGGGTAAGAGATGTGGAGCGGGCTGTCGAGGCTGGTCGTAACTCGCTGGGGGTTCCCAGGAAGGGGTTAGACGTGGGCAGGGAGGCATGTGAGGAGGTCTCGATGTTGTATGCTGCAATCGAACGGCATGAGCGGGGAGAGCCGTTGGTTGTTCCGGGCGTTGGGAAGTTTCAGGTGGAGTGGCATGGGTCGTGCGATTTGAAGACGTTGAAAATTCTTTTCAATGTCAAGCCCGGGGCGAATGCGACCAAGCCCAACATTTACAGCGTCCGCGAACGGGTGAAGGGGCAGTGGCCTGGGGGAGTGCGTAACGGGCAGCAAAGTCAGAAACCGGACCGGGACGTCAAGGACCCAGGGTTCAGGTGTCTGCTCCCCATCCCCCTTGAGCGGTGGCACCTAGACCCCCTCCACGCAGTCACTCGCCTCGCAGAGGTTAACCTCCATCGACAAGTGCAACGCTACTGGAATATGGACTGCAGCACCCCCGAGAAGGCAGCGGTGAGGGACGGGCTCTTACGAGGGATTGAGACGGTGCTCAGCAGCATCGGAGTGCATGGGGGCCACTGCACGATCGTGCAGGATCCACGTGCGGGCAAGGGGAACAAGCCGCAGAAGATCAGCATGAACGGCGGCACAGTGGCGAGAATCACTGCCCAGAAGGTCTGGGCGCAGCTGGTCAACATCGAGCCGGACGCTGACAAGCGGGCGGAGATGGTGCTGATGTGGTTGGCCTTCGACAAGTACGTGCCGTTCTTGCGTGACCCCGTGTACAGCGCTGCGACGGGCAGCGATCCGGGCATGCACGACAAGGCGGTCGACACGTACCTGGAGAAATTCACGGACTGTTTTGGCGAGGCCGGGGTGACCCACTATATGGTGAGTTTGGCATTCCGTTCCAAGCTGAAACGCTCGTGGTTGTGTGAATCTTGAACTTTCGTGGTGCTTTTCTTTACTTGGCCGCTCAGTGTACAGTAAGTTTTGCCGCTGATCACATTGTTTGAGACGTCTTCAAAGACGTTTCTGGACGTGGCGCTCTCAAGAGGTTTAAGAATCTAGTCAAGGAGGCTGTTCATGAGATCTTATGCTCTTAAAGCCAGTCAACTACCCAGATTGTGCAGCATCGTTTAGGCTGCGCAGCCTTCGCTTAGTTTTGAGGCCATCTTTCGAGTGCTCACTTCCATTTCATGTGCAGGTTACGCTGTATACCAACGGCGGGTGGTTCATAAACAACAACCGGCACCTGGGAAACGGAAGTCTGGCCGCCTGGAACGGACAGGTATGTGCTATGCTGCGTACGGTTCTGAGTTGGGAGAGATCAGTTTCTAGCTTGAACCTTAGGTTGAGGATGCTGGTGGTAGCTTTCAGGGACTCTGGAGTCAGATGTTGGGCTTTATTCGGATCCCTTTGGGGTCCAAGTTTCCATCATTTCTATGAAAGCCATTACCACTAGTTACGGACAGGTTCAACAAAGTCGCATTGCTTCGACCAACGGAAGGAGAGCAAAAGTCATTAGGCTTAGTGTCGCATATCTGGCATGGCCGCTGTGGAGACTTGGTTCAGATTTTCTGTGAAGCTCGTGTCTCAAATCGTGTTGCGTCTGCAGGGGATTGAGAAGTCCAACTGGCGATGGAAGTGGGAGTACATCCATCACACGCAACACGGTGGGGGTTTCGACAAGATCAACCCGCTGGCTCAGCTCGTCCAGTTCGAGCACCGCCACCGCCACCATCGGCAGCAGAGGCGAGCTCAAGAGGCTGCCAAGAAGGCGGCTAAGGAGGCGCGCTTAGCACTGACCGAGGGGAGGCGCCAGGCGTGGAAAGGCTCGGATGCTGCTGAGGGCGGTGCCGCCTTCCGCGCCAGTTGCGATCGGGTCGGAAAGAGATGGGTTCGGCGTGTGCCCGCAGGTGATGCTCCGGATCCGGACAATGGTGACGGTTTGGCCGAGGACGGCGATGCAGACCGGGGCGCAGACGATGCCGACAATGCGGGAGGCCGCGCGGACGAGATGGAGGGGGACAGCGAAGAAGAAGAGCTGGACGGGGACTGCATGGATGCGGCAGAGATCGAGGCTCGGGCAGAAAAGCTTGATGCATGGGAGGAAGCGCTCGATGCAAACGAGATCCGTTTGTTGGAGGAAGAGCGAATTAGAGACAGGGAGAAAGAAGAGCTCATTGAGCAACTGAGAATGATGTCCGAGTGACTCTGTACATAAGGTTGAGGCGGTTCGACTGAGACCCTTCGTCAAATGTAGGTAGCAACTAATTTGAATAGCTTGCAGCAACTTGAGTCGTTATTTATAGGGGTGTATTTATAGAGGTGTAGCTCGATATATATTTGAACTGCAAGTGCGGGCGCTTGCCTGCTTTGTTTGCCCGCACAAAGCCTGGGATGCAACAGAGTTCCACGCGTGGAGTCAATCCAGTACCTTCGATTATTACGTGCATGAAATATTAATTCATTGTATGGTATATGTCAAATCGAGCCGCACTGGCATCATGGCATTATGCCAAATTGTATCCGATAGTTGTGGCTGTGTAGAGTTTGGCAAGCAAGCCGCTAGTATTTCAATAATACTAAGCGGTTTGTTCTCGGTTCGATCCCGAGCACAGCCGAGGGGATGGAGGGACGACTGTACGCGGGTACAAGTGGGGTCGACGTCACGGGTTCGCTCGTCGTTACTCGTGCATCCTGGCCGGGTGCGCTTGTGACGGGTTCGTCAGGAGGATGATTCCGAACGGTCGGGGCAAGCTTGGGAAGGGGAAGGGAGGGAACTAGGGGGGGCGTTTTAAACGCCCCCTGAGTCCATGTCACCGGGGGGGGAGGCGCGCTTTTTTCCTCATGGAAACTAGTATGGCGAGGTTTTTCAATCATTTTCTCATGCAGTCGGTTCGTTCGATATCTCGGATCGACTCATCGGCTAGCTCGCCTTGCCGCTCATGCCATGCAAGCTAATATGATTGACCAGCGGCCACATATCTCGAGTCAATTATCCGGTCCTGTTTCTAAAATTACGTAAATCCAATATATGCATGTGGCATCAAGGCTTCGACAATTGATGAAAGTACTCGCAATGATTCATAGGATGGCAGCTAGTCCTTGAGAAACAATCTCGACGCGAACGCGTCCGCGCGGCCTCTCAAATCAGCCATATCTGCGAGTCATGCATGAATTGAAATGTTCGAGTGATGCACCGTGCAATTGTTGACATCCAATCCACCTTTTCCGGAGGCTAACGTAACAACTTTTATATCATCATCTCAGATTTATGACGGTACGCACAAAGTATTATGATATGAAGTTGTAGGCAAGTCATGCATGCTGCGCTGCTTCCAGTTTTCATACCAGCGCACCGCACGTTCGTTCCCATTTGCCAGAAGGCTTTTAACACGGCTCCCGACAAGGACCATATATTTACAGATTCGATACACAATAGACACACCGCAGCCAAGTGTTGCTAAGCAATGCCTTCGAGGAATCATAAGATGTTCATCAAGTCGTCAAAATTCGTTGGAGGGGGGTCCTGCACACGAACCAATTGCGCTGATCTCTACAATGAATAAATGGTTTAGAGGGCCGCTGTGATCAGATAAGAACAGAATTTGCAGAGAGAGACATCTCAGAAGCTGCGCATGCACGGTGCAATTCACTTTCAACCAGAAATCGACTGTAGGATGCTGTCGTCGATTCAGAAACGGGCAAGTTGAACGCGATTGAAATCTGTCAGATGAAACAGACGGAGTACAATTGTGCCATTTACCTGCTTGTCTATGATGATCTCTCCATCGTCTTCGTCCAGAAGGAACTTCTTCACCGAGTACCTTTTCTCGAACCGGGACTGGATCTGTAAAAAACAGTTTGTTTCTTTGAAAGCGGCAGCTTTACCAACGAGAGCCTACGAAAGGTATTTTTGAAAGCGGGTCAGGAACGACTTTTTGTCAATGCAGATGAATCTTTTGTCCCTATACAGGCTTACGAAATTTGAATGATTGCAAATGTCAAGCGGACCAGCAATACAAGTTCAAGACAGCCTTCCACGTGTGCAAGAGGACAGGCTGGATCAAATTGGCTTCCGTGCACTTGAGAATCAATGGTGACCTGAACCTGCAACGAAAAAGAAACCTACCTTGGAAAATTGCTCGTGCTTATATTCGGTGAAGAAATTGAACTTCTGCGGAGCAATGCCGACTAATTGGGTGATGATGGCCACCCGAACATCGGAGAGGTTGTCTTTGGCCTCAACTCTGACCTCCCCAAGATGCTCTTCTCCATCAAGGTACACTTGAAGGGTAATCTCCTTGCGTTGCACTGCATGAAGGAGCACTTTCGTTAGCAAGCACGAACTGACCCGTCAACTTTGCTTCTCGAAATGAATCTGTGATTGTTGCCAGGCGGCACAACAAGTATGTTCCTGTTCAAATGCTGCAGACGCAACAAAGGGGCATTCATGGTTACTATCCGAGCAACTATAGCACTTCACAGAAACTCCGCGGCGTGGCCAGAACTTGCACGGCATGGTTGGAACTTCAAGTTCCCGCTGCTGTCTGTACTCTGTGATACATGTTGAATCTTTATTGAAAACCCTATACAGACCTGCACCCTCGGAGCATAGAAAGAGTGGCACTCTAGAAAGGCTGTTCTTACAACTTGAAACCATGCCTGACCAATTTCTCAGGTACTCTACGAACGACTAAGCTGCCCAGGTCCACTTAGATGAGCAATCTTGTAGAATAACCACAAAACCATAACCAGCTTTCCCAAAGTACACCAATACCAATTGGGCAATGTCCAGATTCCAAACGGATCAAGCAACATGCTCATGGCGCTGGTCTGTAAAGACAGACCCTGATCTCTCAGCGAGAAACGCAATCAGAATTGAAGGATAAAGAATTGTTTGAAAGTGGTGAGCACCGAGAGTCTGTCCAACTCACACACAGTCTGCGGGTTCAGGTCAAGGGCAATCCATTCCTCTTCCCTCCTATTCCACATGAAGCGCTGGTAGTGCCACGTCATGAGAATGCACTGCCGTGCGTAGTGATACCTGCAAGGACCAACAAGCAAAAGACATTCAGCGAAACTGCTGTGCAGCAGCGCTCTTGAGGAAAAGCTGCTGTTCTTGCTGATTGCTAGAGATACTCCAAACTGGTGCTTAGCCCAAGGAGAGAAGGCATGTGCATTCAAATCGGCGGTGTGAGCCTACGAGCCATTTTCCTGCTGAGTTTCCTCCAGCAAACACAATCTATAGGAATTCAAAACATCATCTCTGTCACATACAAGCGGCAGCTCAGATTCCACCCAAGACATTGGTTTGAATGGCACGCATGGATACTGGCGAAAACTACAAACATATCTGCTAAAATGAGCAGATTGAAAGCAAGGGGCCCAGGCCAGTCATGTACTGCAGCATTCAATAATCAAGTTGGCCCCCACCAAGGCCTGCCACACCGAATTGCCATAAGCATTTGCCAATGCAGAGAAGCTTGGTGGTTGCGCAATGGCAGGCTTACCTGATCTTCAAGCTCTCAAATGCAATGCACGCTTTAACTCTTTCCAGTCCTCGCCCGTTGACTTTCTCGTTCCAGCCCTTTCCAAGAAGCCCATCAAGAACAGCCTTGTGCGGAACAAAGATAATGGACGCTGTGGCAGCCCGGTGCTCCCAACCGAGCTGCATTATTGCTGGCAGCCCACCTAAAGGGAGGGACACTTTAATAGATTGACGGCCGCCTCCCTGCGTCGTACTCATGCTTTTCTGAATCTCAGACGCCCAAGTAAGTAGACAACCAGCATACACGTGGCTGTCCAGAGAAGGCCACTCATAAGGAGCATCAACAGGAGGGAAACTTGGGACCTTGGAGAAGCTCTTTAGGAGGGGATTGTAGAGGCTATTATACATATAGATTTCACTTTTCAGTAGCTCTGCTGGAAGCTGACCAGGATATAAGGCGGCGATTGTCTTGTAATGAAAGACTGTGAAGACATCTAGCACTGTTTCAACATCATATGTATCCTGGCAAGGACTGGGCCACAGTTGATTTGCCTTGGCTTGTTTGGGCAGCTCGTTCAACTCCAAATCTCGTGTAAGCTCTATCTTTTTGTAGAGGTGCTCCACTGTGAGCTGAACTTTCCCCCTCCGCACAAGGATCTCCAGGACACGAGACATGTAAAAGGTGGCTCCTTTCCATGCCCCTGCTTTTTCCCCTCTTGCAGCCTTGATCTTGACTCCGCTGCCCACTGATACGATGAAGCTTTTTGGCCCTCGAGCAACCTCAAAGGATTTCACAGAGAGAGCAGACGCCATTTTGCTTGCCGCCAGCCTAAAGAAAGAAGTGCAAGGCTACAGGAGCGTTGATATTGCAATGAATCTAGGCTCCATCGCTTGAATTTGAATGGCGTCAAGGTCATGTCGCCTGGAACGACCTCAGCGATTCGTCTTCTGTCCCTAGCCTCCGGCGACCAGGAAATTTTTGCCGCCTTGCCAAAGAACGTCACCGGCGTGGGCAAACCGAATTACGGGTCCGAGCCTGTGACTACCGCGGAACAACTGCCTCTAAGAATCCGGGCCGTCGATGAGCTCAGTCTATTGCCAATCGGCCGTTCAATCTTAGGATCCTAAAAGTATGAGGATCCTTGTTTCGGACGGTGCCAACCTCCCCGAAATTTCCGCCCGGCAAATAGGTTATCCAGCTCGCCGGAGAGTCCAAAAAATCCCTAATCGGCGGCTAATGGCGGAAAGCTCTAGTAACTAGCATGAGGCATTACTGGCACGTGTAGCCGAGCCGTCACAGCAACGAGCCCATACAGCGTGACAGCTGTCATGCGGTCTTATGTCGATGCGATATCATGTCGGTGGACAGACTGAGGCGCTCAGGCTAACGGCGAAAATGAAAATGATACGTCATTCCAGGTCACTCATACGGCATACACACATCATCCATGATCCCTCCCCCCAAGCTGGCGGAGTCGTCCCGACGGAGC